TAGGTTCCATGACCTCATTTAGGGTCACATTGGTGTCTTAGAGACACATTCTATCTCTGGAGTCCGTTGTTTCACCTTTCGCTTCCGCATTTCGTATCTGTTATCGAGTCATCTTTTGGTCATTGCTGACGCACTGGGTTTACAAAACTTGGGCCGTCATAGTTTCACCTACGAGCAACTGCTCCTTCTTCCTCCTTGGTCCAACCTAGCCTTCCTCTCCTATCTCCCTCTGTTACTCTCTGTATCTCACTATCTCTCTGTTTTACAGAACTATGCTTACGTTTTCTAAAACCCTAAACCACCGTAATGTGTATATTTATAGGCTTATAACAATAACCTTAGTTCATGTATGCTTAGAGTCTAAGCCCCAATTCCAATCCCAGTCGGCCCATAAAGCAACCTAAGTTGTAACCTACAGTGGCTAACATGAATCATAAAAATAAAACCATAGTTTACAATAAAACAAATAACAGCTTAATGCAAAATAGTTAAGGCAACTAATTAACTCACTACAATTAAATAGTTAAAACAACCTACATAATAAAACAATTAAATAACCAATTTAATACGCAATTAATCACATAAAAATAAAATAAAACAATAAATAAAATGCCGAGACTATCCTTTTAAAATTAGGAGTATTACAACAAGTCTCTATTCTGTCTCTTTCCCTTAAACCTGTGTTCTGTGCATGCCTAGCTAGACTCCAGGGGTTTAATTAATACTAAAATGAAATAGTCATGTATGCTTAATCGGACTAAAATAGAGAGTTTCATGATTTTATATGCTTGTTCGTGATTCTCTTTATTCTTAGATTTTTTATGCATGAACTGTTGTTTAAGTTGAATCTTTGCCTACTAAAACACTTAAAATAATTTAGTATGGACGTATGAGACATAGGTTGAAGTTTAGAGGCCTTAACAATGAAGTTTTAGGGTGTACAGGGGCTGAACAGATGAAGAAGACGACTTCAGCACCAACTAAGCCGACTGAATTGGTAACTTAGCCTGCTGAATTGGTAACTTAGCCTGCTTAGTTGGACCGCGACCTGGATGTTTGGTTTTAATTGCCGGAGTTTGCATTTTAATTGTTTTAAAACGTTGTTTGGGCTGTACAGGGTTTTTTTTTTTAATTCGTTTAAACCATTTTAAACTGGTGTATATGAATCCCATAGACCTGTGATATATACGAACAATAATTCATAAATGGATTGGGGATTGGACAGTGTAAAATTAGGAAAAAATCCTACATGTTGCACTTTGACTGTTAATCAGCTTACACATTGGAACTTGGAGAATCGTTTATATATGATTCAATATTGATTAATCATATTTAAACAGGGTCATAAGTGTCATGGATTACTTGAAATTAACCATGCTTGTGTTGGAACAAATTGATATTCACCTTGCTATTTATCTGCATCAATTTATGGACAATTCGTAGGATGTAAATGCTTAGATTTATTTTAGCAGTTTACATTGTTGGAATATGATTTTTAGGTTCTGTAATGAATGCCTAATATTGTTGGATATGTGTTAATTTATATTGATGCATATTTTGGAGTATGATTGAGGAGTTATTTATACTTGCTTTGCCAATTATACGGACTTGTGTGTTGTATGCACCGGTATGGGACGATGGCATACTAGGGACGGATTAGTTAAAAATACTAAGTCCTACCTATTTGGAAATAAGTTGGATTAATAATAAAAGTTAAGTCCTACTTATATATGTGTATATGCACCGGTATGGGACGGTGGTATATTAGGGATGGCTTAGTTCAAAACACTAAAATCTACCTGTATTGGGGATGATTTAATTCAAAACGCTAAGACCTAACCTATCGGATTAAAGGAATGGATTGTAAAATATTGAATCCTAAATTGTGTTTAAGTCTGATCAACTGACTAAGTTGAGTGATTTCCTAGATTAGTTGGTTGTAGTTAAGTCATATCAGCTGAATAAGTTGAGTGACTAACTGGACTGTGTTCTGTATGTCACCTCAATGAATAATTGAATGATATACTCTGGTTTCGGACGGATTTTAGATATATGATTATGGTACCACGAGATGAGCTTGAGTCTCAGGCTCGTTGGTTAGGGTGCATATATGCAGTGGATGCGTAGCTGGCTATGGTAGGTTGAGGTGTACCCTGTCAGGTCTAGGTACTCATGCCCACTTTTGGATGCGTTTTCGCATGTTGTCTTCTATTCAGGTTGAGACCCTTATTATAGTTCAGTGAATGTCCCTTAGTGTGGATATATATATGTATGGACTAAGTAATTATTGTTGAGCTATCTAGGATGTATCTGCGTATCGGGTTTATGTATGGATCGTAGTAAAATAGGACTTGCATGTGGGCCTGACCCTCTCTCTTATTTTTTAGGTGCTCGTCAGTTCCAGGGTTAGAGCTTGGTTGTGCAGAGCAGATACAGACTTCCATTCTACCGCCTACGTAGGACTACTGTAATACCCCTAAATTTCAAGGTTTTTATTTATTTATTTTTATTTCGTTTTATTTATCTACGTGGCTATTTAAATTTCTTGTGCATTTATTTTATGATTTTATTTGTTTGTCAGTTAAATATTAATTATTTAGTGTTTGATTTATTTCATTATTTTTAGTGTTTATTTTATTTCATTATTGTTATTTTTTTTTTTTATGTACTTGACTAATTGAATTGTTGTGAGGTGTTTATTTAGTTGTCATTTAAATGGTAATTAGTTTATTTATTTTATTTCATTATTGTTATGTATTATTATTATTTTTTTATGTACTTGACTAATTGAATTGTTGTGAGTTGTTTATTTAGTTGTCATTTAAATGGTAATTAGTTTATTTATTTTATTTCATTATTGTTATTTTATTTATGTACTTGACTAATTGAATTCTTGTGAGGTGTTTATTTAGTTGTCATTTAAATGGTAATTAGTTTATTTACTTATTATTTAAATGGTAATTATCTAGTTGTAATTCTTTAGTTAATTGAATTTTTTTTTATTGATGTTATTTTTATTTTGTTTATTTATTTATTTATTTTTAGTTAGTAGAATGGATGGGTGATAGATATATAAAATTATACATATATCTATATTAAAGTGTTATATATATATAAATATATATATGGTTAGTAAATTATAAAGATATATATGTAAATTATATTATTTTCATACTTACATGTTTATAGTTGTTTACGTGGAATTATGATCATTAGTAACATTTTGTTTTTTTTTTTTTTTAATTTTTCTTTATTAGTTTTCTTTATTAGATTTAATGATTAGTGGGTTTTGGTTTTAATAGAGTGTGGCTAGTGGTAGCTAAGTTGGTATGGGATTAGTTAGGTTAGTAGAATTAGGTTTTATTTTATATGTTTCTATAAATAGGCTGTAATTGGGTTTTGGCAAAAGGGGCACGAAATTGAAAAGAAAAAAAAAGAATAGAGGGGCGGCGTGAACAGGTGAGAAAAGAGAAGAAAAGAAAGAGAGAAAGAGAGGAAGAAAGAGGGAGAAAGAAAGAGGAGGAGGAGGAGATTGGTGAGGCCAGCTGTTGTAAGGATTAACCGGAGGAGCAAAGGTAGTTAACAATGACCCGAAGGCGGCCGGCGTCAAGGGAAATTGGTGACGAACAGTGAAGAATTTTGACCCGAAAATAAAAGGCAAGTCTTTGTTCTATTCATCCTCTTTGATTCCATGTTCAATTCATCTCTAGAATGACTTTAAGGAATAAATTTTAGATGGGTTTGATTATATTCAAGTTAAGAGGATCAAATAAGTGATATATATATATATATATATACTTACATATATACGTATACATAAGAACAGAGCTTTGTCGGTTCGGCTAAGTGGTTAAAGGAAAAAGGGACTCATGATGGGAGATGAGTCGGTTCGGCTTAGTGGATTCTTTGGGGCCGAAATTCAGTGCTTCATTATTTTGGGGCAATTCCATGTATATACTACTAATTGGTTAGTTTGTGGGTAGGTAGTTTGGTCATCAAATCTTGGAACTCAAATAGATTATTTATTTCATAGGTGGTGGTGTCACCTTGTGTGGACTAGTATGTTATACTTGATTACCATCTACTGTAATCATATAAAGTAATCTAATGGAAGACTGGTTAAATTACAAGTTATGGGTTTAAATACTTATTAATGGTTTCGCTATTCTATAAAATCATCTTTAAAAATAATAATAATAATAAAAAATAGTATGATGTTAATCTTAATTACAAAGGTACATAGTTTTACTTGTATTTTAAATTTCTGTTATGTCACTGTTAATAGGTTGAAACGTTTTATTCGTTTCTACAACAGTTATTATAATAATTTGTCATGTACGTGATAATGAAAAAAAAACTTTACTTGCATTAGAATATAATTGCATGATAAGTATAGAAGTCTATGCTGTCATATAAAATACTCAGATAAAATTTTATTAATGATGTATATTAATTTTTAGTATACATACTTATATAGGAGTGTATATTGGATGACCATTGTCAGGATATGGTCTTAGTAGCACCATTGTTAGGATATGGCTTGCTGATATATATATGGGCTAGTTATTAAGTCCAGACCTATACGTTTTGTCAAACTATTGTCAGGATATAGTTATGACTTTTGATTGTGCCACTGTCAGGATATGGTTACAGTTACTTACATATATATTTTTATTGGGTATCATGATACGAGCTTGAGATCTCGTGATCGATGGTTAGGATTGGCGTATATTGCCAGATGAGATGCGTAGCTGGATCTAGGGATGTTTGTGCCTTGGTAGAAGAGGTACTCGTGACCACCTTGTGTGCGCTTGCATGAGACCTACTATCCGGTTGAGGCTGTCTTATGATCCAGTGAGAGTCTATAGTGTGTATACTTATGTATATGGATTTACATAGATATTGCATGAGTCGGACTAGGTTTATCGGGTCTCTGTTTGGGATGTAGTAGAAAGGGCTTGTTCGTGGGTTTTGACCCACCTTTGTTGTTATCTATTTAGGTCCTCGATAGTTCCAGACGTAGAGTCAGTTCGTGCAGAGGAGAGGCCAGACTTCATCACTCTTCCGGTGTCATAGACGTAGGACTTCCACTATGTTTTTGTTATTATTTATTATTTTTGAGTTAGACATTTATCTATTTCGTCTTTAGTTGGGATTTTTATTAGGGGTCCACATGGTATGGATTCCCAAGTTGTACTTCGGAGATTTATTATTATTATGGGATTTTATTAGAGATTATGTTATTAGAGGTTTTGTTACTTAATTATTGATTTAGTTTTCCCTTTTAGCGTTTATTTTATTATTATTTTTCCTCTTGTATTCTGTGCTTACTTATTATTGATTGGCTGATATCCCCTGATTTTGTGCGCGGACTTGATTAACCCGCGTTCCGAAATTTAGGGGTATCGCAGTTGGTATCAGATCTCTCCAGGTTCAAGTGTTTCTTGGGTTCGTTCGTATTAGACTTCCGCGTAGCGTATTCTATTATTAGAGCTTATGTATAGGATTCATTGTATTCCTTTACGGTTCGCTTAAATCATACTAATGTTTATCTTTCGTGTTAACAAAATGGTTAATGCTGGAAGAAGATGGGAAAGACAATAGAGGAGAGCGGTGTATAGACAACAGGATCGTCTGCGACGTCAGCAGGTTGCATAGGAGCAACAACTGCCTAGATTTCAGGAGAAGGAGGAGCAACAATAAACTCAGGAGCCTCGAGATCAGAACGAACATCAAGGCAGGTATCCCGAGTATCCTGCTTAGTTAGTTGACATCATTGCTCAGGCTGTAGCAACAGGTGTAGCAGCTGCACTCCAGAATCAGCCACAGGTTCAGCAGGCACCTGTGCCAATACCGGTAGTTCAATCTAGTCCTTGGGAGAAGGCTACAAGTTCTTTTACAAAGGGGAGCCCACCTCAGTTCTCAGGCTCCACAGATTTGAGTGTGGCTTATTAGTGGAAGAAGGATATATAGCGTCATCTTCGCCTGGTTGAGTGCACGGAGGTGCAGAAACAGATGCTTGCTACCTTCAAGCTTATTGGGGATGCACTCCAGTGGTGGAAGTCAGTTACCACTGTAGAGGAGAGGACTTCATTAACTTATGATCAATTTGGTGCTCGCTTTGATGAGACGTATTTTCCATATGCAATCAGAGCAGCTATGAAGAAGGAGTTTCTTAACTTAGATCTGGGGAACATGACAGTAGTAGAGTATGAGCCGCAGTTTACACGCTTATCTCTATTTATTCCAGAAGAGGTGGATACCGAGATGAAGAAACGTACTAGCTTTGTTAAGGGCTGACCTGGTCGATTAAGCGAGTCATTACAGGTAGTCCAGCCTACACTACTTATGCTCAGGTGGTGGACGTCGCTTTACAGCTTTATCAGTTGAATGTGGAATTCAGACAGACTAGGGGTGAGAAGCGGGGTGACAGAGACTTTGTTAATCAGCCAGCTGAGAAAGGATATGGTAATGGGCATTGACAGAATGATAAGGGCAGATTTCAAGGACAGTAGCCTTAGAAGAAGCACAAGAATAATTTAGATGCTCAGAGAGATAGGGCACTTATTCAGAGGCAGCAGAATGGGGCACCACAAACAGTACAGAGTCAACCTCAGGGTAACCAGCACAAGAAACAATTTGGTCCTTTCAAAGGCTTTTGTTATGGTTGTGGAGAGCTCAGACACACAGCTAAGAGGTGTCCCAAGGCTATGCAGGGACATCATGTGCAGTAGGGGCAGTGACCACCATTTCCCTTACCTGCTCCATAGGTGCCACGCATTCAGGGACAGGTGTTCCCGGCTTTACCAGTGCCATCGCCACCACAGGGGCAGGCATCGCAGCAGTTGCACTATGGCAGAGTGTATAACCACATGCCACAGGACGTTCAGACTTCTCAAGCTATTGAGGGTATGTTTCCTATACACGGTAGATATGGGCGTGTTTTGTTTGATACGGGTGCTACACATTCATTTATAACTAGTACATTTGTTGCATTATCTGGGATGACTATACAATTATGTGATCGACCTTGTAGTATTGGTACACCCATATGTGTTACTTCTATTTTGCATAAGAGTGATGGGCCTGTGACACTAGATATTGGTAGACTTAGATTTCTAGCCAGCCTATTGGTCTTGGACATGCATTCTTATGATGTGATACTTGGGATGGATTGGTTATCTCATTACCATGCTCAGGTTAATTGTCACGATAAGTCTATTGTGTTTGCTATACCGGGTCAGGATATGTATATTATTGCAATGCCATATTCTAACGGGGGATCGAGCACTCATTTATTGTATATCGAGGAGGAGTTTGGGGAGGAGATTACTGTAGCATTGGATTGTATACCGATTGTACGGAAATTTTTGGATGTATTTCAAGAGATTCTAGGGTTGCCACAGAGTCGGGAGATAGACTTTGTGATTGATCTAGCTCTAGGCACTACACCTATTGCTAGGGCACCATACAGGATGGCACCGATGGAAATGTGGGAGCTAAAGGATCAAATTCAGCAACTTCTCAGCCAGGGATTCATCCGTAGAAGTACTTCACCCTGGGGAGCACTAGTGTTGTTTGTGAAGAAGAAGGATGGCTCACTTCGCCTGTGTATAGATTACAGGGAGTTAAACAAGGTTACTGTTCGTAACAAGTATCCTTTGCCCAGGATCGATGACTTATTTGATCAGTTAAAGGGAGCTACTTACTTCTCCAAGATTGATTTGCGATTTGGCTATCATCAGCTTCGAGTTAGGGAGCAAGATATTCCTAAGACAGCATTTCTCACAAGATATGGATCTTATGAATTTCGGGTCATGCCTTTTGGATTGACTAATGCGCCAGCTGTCTTTATGGACTTGATGAACAGGGTCTTCAGGGCTTACTTAGACCAGTGCGTCATTGTTTTCATCGATGATATTCTAGTTTATTCTAAGTCAGAAGAGGACCATGCTAGACATCTTTGCATAGTGTTACAGACACTGCGTGAGCATCAGTTGTATACCAAGTTCGAAAAGTGTGACTTTTGGCAGTGAAAAGTGAAGTTTCTGGGTCACGTGGTGTCAGAGGAGGGGATAGCGGTGGATCCAGCCAAGGTCTCAGCTGTTTTAGAATGGGGACAGCCTACCTCACCCACTAAGATTCGTAGCTTTCTGGGATTGGCAGGATATTATCGCAAATTCATCCAGGGTTTTTCGAAAATAGCGGGACCACTCACTCATCTGATTAGGAAGGGGATACCATTTGTATGGGATGAGCATTGTTAGACTGCGTTTGACACATTAAAGAGCAAGTTGACTTCTGCACCTGTTCTAGCTACTTCCCAGAGTGGGATAGAGTATCTTGTCTACACAGATGCTTCTTTGCAGGGTCTGGGATGTGTTTTAATGTAGGAGGAGTGACTGGTTTCTTATGGGTCTCGTAAGCTTAAGCCTCATGAGCTTAACTATCCAATGCATGATTTGGAGTTAGCAGTTGTAGTCTTTGCTTTACGCATTTTGAGGCATTATCTGTTGGGGGAGTCCTTCGGACTATTTAGTGACCACAAGAGTTTGCAGTACCTCTTCATGCAGAAGGAGCTGAATATAAGACAACGTAGGTGGTTAGAGTTTGTGAAAGATTACTGTTTCTCTATACAATACCATCCAGGAAAAGCGAATATAGTGGCAGATGCACTCAGTCGTCGATCCTGTGCTGGTCTTTCTGCAATGTTTGCTACAGAATGGAATGCTTTAAAGACTGTAGATGAGTTATCTGATGCTTTTGTGGCATGCATAGTAATTACACTTGCTATCATCCACAAAGTGTTGAAGGCACAAATTATGGATCAGTAGTACATCGATACAATTACGGAGTTAGCTTCTAATGATGTTCCATTTTACTCTGTTGGGGCAGATGGGGGCTTGAGGTATAAAGGTCGCTTAGTAGTACCTTCTGCTAATGATTTGAGAAAAGATGTGATGACGGAGGTTCATAAATCTGAGTTCTCCATCCATCCAGGTGGATATAAGATGTATCAACGACAGTTTTGGTGAGCAAGTATAAAGAGGGACATAGCCATTTTTATCTCCAAATGTAGTACCTATCAGATGGTCAAGATCGATCATCAGAGACCGCTTGGCTCTTTGCAGCCACTTCCTGTACCGGAGTGGAAATGGGAGAGTATCTCTATGGATTTTGTTGAGGGATTACCCAATCCAACAGGAATCACAATTCTATTTGGGTCATTGTTGATAGGTTGACCAAATCAGCTCATTTCTTGCCTATTCGCACTGATTTCCCTGCAAAACAGTTGGCGAGGCTTTACATTGTGGAGATTGTGAAGCTGCATGGCATACCAATGTCTATTATATCAGACAGGGATCCGAGCTTTGTATCGGGATTTTGGGGGAGTTTCCAGCAGGCTTTGGGTACCGAACTACATCTTAGCACTGCTTATCATCCTCAGACTGATGTTAATCAGATCATAGAGGATATGCTTCGTTCCTGTGTCCTTGATTTTAAGGGCAACTGGGAAGATTATTTGCCACTTGCAGAGTTTGCCTACAATAATAGTTTTCAAAAGACTATTGGTATGGCATCGTTTGAGGCGTTGTACGGCCAACCATGTCGATCTCCTGTTTGTTGGTTAGAGGTTGGTGAGAGCAAATTTTTGGGTCCTGAATTTATCACGGATACCTCTGAGAAGATTGCTCTAATTCGTGATCGCATGCGCACTGCCCAGAGTAGACAGAAGAGTTATGCGGATTGTCGTACTCGTAGTTTAGAGTTTCAGGTAGGGGATCAGGTGTTACTTAAAGTATCTCCCATGAAGAGAGCAATGCGCTTTGGGAAGAAAGGGAAGTTGTCACCACGTTTTGTTGGTCCTTTTATAATTACGGATCGAGTGGGAGTTGTGGCTTATCGGTTAGCACTTCCGGATCATCTACATCGGGTCCATAATGTTTTCCATGTGTCCATGTTGAGAAAATTTCTACGCGATAAGGATCGTTATCAGCATATAGATGTTGGTGAGATTGAGTTGTAGCCGGATGCGACATATGTTGAGCCACCATGTTGTATTCTTGATCGCCGTGATCAGGTGCTTCGCAACAAGACTATTCCTCTTGTGCATGTTCAGTGGAACCATCATAATGAGGCCGAGTCCACTTGGGAACGGGAAAATGTCATCCATTCAAAATTTCCAGAATTGCTAAAACAAGGTAAAAGGTGAATTCCTTGGACGGAATTCCTTTGTTAGGGGGGAAGTATGTAATACCCCTAAATTTCAAGGTTTTTATTTATTTATTTTTATTTCATTTTATTTATCTACGTGGCTATGTAAATTGTTTGTGCATTTATTTTATGATTTTATTTGTTTGTCAGTTAAATATTAATTATTTAGTGTTTGATTTATTTCATTATTTTTAGTGTTTATTTTATTTCATTATTGTTATTTTTTTTATGTACTTGACTAATTGAATTGTTGTGAGGTGTTTATTTAGTTGTCATTTAAATGGTAATTAGTTTATTTATTTTATTTCATTATTGTTATATATATATATATTTTTATGTACTTGACTAATTGAATTGTTGTGAGGTGTTTATTTAGTTGTCATTTAAATGGTAATTAGTTTATTTTATTTTATTTAATTATTGTTATTTTTTTTTTTATGTACTTGACTAATTAAATTGTTGTGAGGTGTTTATTTAGTTGTCATTTAAATGGTAATTAGTTTATTTACTTGTCATTTAAATGGTAATTATCTAGTTGTAATTCTTTAGTTAATTGAAATTTTTTTTATTGATGTTATTTTTATTTTGTTTATTTATTTATTTATTTTTAGTTAGTAGAATGGATGGGTGATAGATATATAAAATTATACATATATCTATATTAAAGTGTTATATATATATGGTTAGTAAATTATATTATATATATATAACACTTTAATAATTATATTAAAGTGTTATCAGCTCTAGAATGACTTTAAGGAATAAATTTTAGATGGGTTTGATTATATTCAAGTTAAGAGGATCAAATAAGTGATATATACATATATATATATATATATATATATATTTACATATATACGTATACATAAGAACGGAGCTGTGTCGGTTCGACTAAGTGGTTAAAGGAAAAAGGACTTATGCTGGGAGATGAGTCGGTTCGGCTCAGTGGATTCTTTGGGGGCGAAATTCAATGCTTCATTATTTTGGGGCAGTTCCATGTATATACTACTAATTGGTTAGTTTGTGGGTAGGTAGTTTGGTCATCAAATCTTGGAACTCAAATAGATTATTTATTTCATAGGTGGTGGTGTCACTTTGTGTGGACTAGCATGTTATACTTGATTACCATATATTGTAATCATATAAAGTACTCTAATGGAAGACTGGGTAAATTATAAGTTATGGGTTTAAATACGTATTAATGGTTTCGCTGTTCTATAAAATCATCTTTTAAAAAAAAATAATAAAAAAAATAGTATGATGTTAATCTTAATTGCAAAGGTACATAGTTTTACTTGTATTTTAAATTTCTGTTATGTTACTGTTAATAGGTTGAAATGTTATATTTGTTTCTACAACAGTTATTATAATAATTGATCATGCATGTGATAATGAAAAAAAAACTTTACTTGCGTTAGAATATAATTGTATGATAAGTATAGAAGTCTATGCTGTCATATAAAATACTCAGATAAATTCTATTAATAATGTATATTAATTTTTAGTATACATATTTGTATAGGAATGTATATTGGAGGACCATTGTCAGGATATGGTCTTAGCAGCACCATTGTTAGGATATGGCTTGCTGACATATATATGGGCTAGTTATTAAGTTTAGACCTATACGTTTTGTCATACTATTGTCAGGATATAGTTATGATTTTTTATTGTGCCATTGTCAGGATATGGCTATAGTTACTTACATATATATTTTTATTGGGTACCATGATACGAGCTTGAGATCTCGTGATCGATGGTTAGGATTGGCGTATATTGCCAGATGAGATGCGTAGCTGGATCTAGGGATGTGTGTGCCCTGGTAGAAGATGTGCTCGTGACCACCTTGTGTGCACTTGCATGAGACCTACTATCCGGTTGAGGCTGTTTTATGATCCAGTAAGAGTCTATAGTGTGTATACTTATGTATATGGACCTACGTAGATATTGCATGAGTCGGATTAGGATGTATCGTTTTTCGGGTCTCTGTTTGGGATGTAGTAGAAAGGGCTTGTTCGTGGATTTTGCCCCACCTTTGTTGTTATCTTTTCAGGTCCTCGATAGTTCCAGGCGTAGAATCAGTTCGTGCAGAGGAGAGGCCAGACTTCATCACTCTTCCGGTGTCATAGACATAGGACCTCCATTATGTTTTTGTTAATTTTTTTATTATTTTTGAGTTAGACATTTATCTATTTCGTCTTTAGTTGGAATTTTTATTAGAGGTCCACATGGTATGGATTCCCAAGTTGTACTCTGGAGATTTATTCTTATTATGGGATTTTATTGGAGATTATGTTATTAGAGGTTTTGCTACTTAATTATTGATTTAGTTTTCCTTTTCAGCGTTGTTTATTTATTTTATTATTTTTTTTTCCTCTTGTATTATGTGCTTGCTTATTATTGATTGGCTGATATCTCCTGATTTTGTGTGCGGACTTGATCAACCCGTGTTCCTAAATTAGGGGGTATTACAACTACTTTCTTATTTAACTTTGGATTTGGATTACAGTTAATTTCTTTCCAGTTTGGGATTTTATTATTAGGGGTCCATTTGAGTGATTCCCGAGTTGTTAACTTTATGGAGTTACTTTGGAGTATTGGATTTTAATAATTATATTTTGAGGATTTTGAATTAGAATTCTTTCAGCGTATTATTATTTATTTTCTTAATTCATTTTGTAATCCGTGTTCATTTTAAAATATTAATTATTTGACATTCCCTAGGGCTTGGGCTCAGGCCTGATCAACCCGTGTCTCAGATCCGAGGGGTGTCACAGTTGGTATCAGAGCACTCCAGGTTCAGTGTCTCTTGGATTCTATCGTATAAGACTTCCGCGTAGCGTATTATCTTATTTGGAGCTTAAGTTTAGGATTCGTTGTATTCCTTTACGGTCCATCTAAATCATACTGATGTCTGGCTTTCAGTGTTAACAGAATGGTTAACGCTAGAACCAGACGAAGCCGTTGGCAGCGAAGAGAAGCGGCACGTAGGCAGCAAGGTCTCTTACAGCGTTAACAACTTGAGGAAGAGCAGCAACTGCCTAGGTTTCAAGAGGAAGAGCAGAAGGAAGACAGCGAGTTGCACATAGAGCATGAGGATGTATAGCAGACTCAGGAGTCTCAGGATCGGGCCTACAATCAGGGCAGGAATCCAGAGTATTCTCCTCAGTTAGTTTACATCATTGCTCAGGCTGTAGCTGCAGGCGTAGCAACTGCACTTCAGATTCAATCACACGTTCATCGGACACTCGAAGCAGTACCAGTGGTGCAAATGTAGTTAAAGTTCATTATTTTGGCTACGGAGAGGATGGGCATACATCCAACCAATGTCCTGGGTTAGCTCAGAGACAACAGAATGGGGGACCACAGACAGGACGGGATCAGCTATAGTGTAACCAGCAGAGGAGGCCGTTTGGTACTTTTAGGGGTACTTGCTATACTTGTGGAGAGTATGGCTACACTTCCAGGCAGTGTCCCAAACAAGGAGATATCGGGCCATCCAAGTAGGAGGGTACCGAACCACAAGGAGGATGGCTCTTTTAAGAGTGATTTTTGTGGTAGTGGAGATTTTAATAAAAGTGTGGTACGGATTTAATCACGTACACTAGTACTATATTAAAAGAATATTTTACAATTATTCTTTTGGAGGTTTATGATTTAAAGAAGTTGTTAATAAAGTGAACTAGCGGTTTTGGCTATCTTTATTGTGTTTTATGATAGCATTTTTGTGATTTATACACATATGGTTTTATTAAGCTGTATTGGAATGTGATTGTCGCGGTTATAGATGATTATCACAGTGGAGTGATTGGTTTTGGACAAGCAAACAAATATTTGCTTGTAGGTCCATTACGTTGAGACTGGACGATTGCTAGGAAGTTTATAAAAGAACTTGTGTAAATCAATAATGTAAGTTTTATTTCGAGGGAAGAATTCCCAAGATGGAGCGATAATCTAAAAGTGAGTTGATTTCGGAGCATTTTGTATTACCTTGTGTCTTTTGCTCTTCGGAGTATTCAGGAGTTTTGGGTTTTATAGTTTAGTGGACATAGGTATGTTGATAAATCTCATGGTGTTTCTACACCTTTAGGCGATGTTGCCATTTTGCATTAGAGTGATGGGCCTGTGATATTAGATTTGGTAGACTCAGATTTCTACCCCATCTAGTGGTCCTGGACATGCACCTTGATGCTGTGTTACTTGGGATGGATTGGTTATCTCACTACCATGCCCAAGTTAATTGTTTTGATAGGTTTATTGTGTTTACCATACCTAGTCAGGATATGTATGTCGTCGCTATGCCATATTCTTGTAACGACCCAGGTTTTAATTCAACCCGGTGGGTCAGTGATGAATCGAAGATCGACTCGATAACGGATCCAGATGCGGAAGCAAGAAACGAGACAATGGTCTCCCACGGTATAACACACCTCTAAGACCCTAAGATGACCTTCCATAAGGTCACGGAACTCCAAAGGGAACTGACGCAGAAACAAAGGATAAACCTAGGTTTCTAGAGATACAAACCGTCCCTAGGACACCAAAGTAACTTTCCATGAAGTCACGGAACTCAAGGAAATAACCGGAAGCAAAAGTTAGGATAAAAAGGTTAAAGGGTACCCCATGGCACCAATGACAACTGAAGGAACGAGATGTAGTCCAAACTAGACCACGTACAACATTAAATGGCTTGAACAAGATCAAGAAGGTCAAGAGGAAACAAATGAAACAAGGTTAACCTGTCTAGGCAACAAACCAAAAAAAACTCACAAGGGAGCTCCATTTCGGTCGACCAAAATGGAGCTTCGGGCTGCCGAAATGAGTTAGGGAGAAAAGGGGAAATGGCTTTCAGTTCGGTAGGCCGAAATGGCAAACCGGTCAACCGAAATAAGCTTCTGCAGTGAAAAAGGCTACTAGAATTGGAGTTTTTGATGAACAACTGAAATCCAAAGGGGTTCGGTCGACCGAACTGGCATTTCGGTTGATCGAAATGGCTCAAGAATGTGCATATGAACCTGTTATGCATCTGAATGAAGAAAAGACTCTAAGTTTTGTTTGAAACCCCCATGGTATGATCAAACTTAATTCTACGCTAATGTGTAATGATGTGAACATACACGCAAGTGTAATATGGTAATTTAAATATGTTACAATGGCCTATGGCCTCATTACATTCCATTTACAAGATTTGACATGCCAAACCTCTAAAGTCGAAAAAAATTGCATTTCAAAGGCAAAACTTGAAGTTTACATATATACACTTGAAATTAAAAGGTTGTGGCACTTGGCCTCATGTCATATATGTCAAATACATTGAAAAGAGTGTACTTATGTACACTTTACATACATAAAATCAAAGAATACAAGTTGACACTTAAGGCTACCATATGACATCTCATGCTAACACGTGCATGAAATGGAAACTTGAAGATATAAGCCATCCCAACGAACGATAAGCACCAGGACCAAGTCTTCGTACCTGAAACAGCCCCCCAGTAACTTCGGGGTGAGTAAACAAGTTTACTCATAAAGAATGAGCATGCATCGACTTGATTTCTTTAAGATTTTTAGACTAACATGAAACAGTTCAACAGGGTCATGCCACCTAACGTCTATGTCAAAGGTGAGACTCAGGGAGCATCCTAAGCTACCCTAAAGTACTAATAATAAGAATCATGATACATATACATGTATGAAACAAATCAGGATTGGGATAATCCAAGGAACGCGGCAAGAAAGATACTTGAGTACGAGCTAATTGGGATATTTCAATTGACAAGACAAGAGAATGCGTTAAATCAAGATCATGGCATAATATCTATGTAAGTAAACAAGATTGGAACATTCCAATTAGCAAGACAAGAGTAATACATGAAATCAAGAATAATGTATAATACTTATGCAATTTAACATGATTGGAGGATTCCAATTAACACGATAGGAGCAATACACGAAATCAAGAACAAGGCATAATATCTATGCAATTAAACGAGGATGGAACATTCAATGAAACACGAAAAGAGTTATACATGAAATCAAGAACAAGGCATAATAGCTATGCAAGTAAACAAGATTGGTGCATTTCACATAACACGACAAAGCTAAGGTGTGAAATCAACCAATGTGCAAACTCGGATATCGTCTGGATTAAAACCGTACTCTTGAGATCACTTTAGGGCTACTAACCCATGGGTACCTTTCCCCTAGTGTGCATTATAGTGTAGGAGGACAATCCCGCGTACTAAAACCAAGTCCTAGCCATGACAATTCTTTATTGATATCCCAAGTCCCAAAATCAACAAGTTGTGCACCCAAGATTGTATCAAATACAATAAATGCATTAACCATGTTTCATGCACAACCAAGATTTTGGAACACCCAAGTCATGCCCTAAGTTCATCAACTATAATGGCATGTGAAATGTCAAGAAATTATAGTGTGCAACTATATAGACAACAACCAAGATACATAACACATGGAGTTCATTGAAGTAAATATACCACAAGTATAAGATACATGATTTAATCACTTTCTAAGCAACACATGTGTAATTAAACCATTCCAAGACAAATGTGCATGTTCATTAAGTACATTAATGAGATCAAGATACAAGTGTTCACGATGCTTGATAAAAAGAATAATGTCCATGGAATTCAAGTCAAATTCACAAGTCTAACAAGAATTCACTAACAAGGCATGATTAACTCGATGGAAGCATATAAGGAAATTTAATCTACTCAAGGATTAAATTATCAAGATTTCAAGGTGAGTTAAAATGTTGTACGAACAAGTGATTTGAAGGATCATGTCAAGGCCAAGTTCATTGTCAAGTTATAAGTCTATTACATACAAGATGCAACCATGTGAATTAAATTCCATACAAGGGAATTAATTAAATATAAGTTTGAAGACTTATCCAATTATTTTTGATTTGATACACGTGAAAGAACTTGCCAAGGAAATCATGAATACAAGGTTAGAAACTTAATCTAGCTCATGGAACCATTGAATGGATTTTAAAAGTCATCCAAATGACCTCAAATTAAAGTATGTTATACAATATGTCAAGACTTGTTTTAAAACCATGATACTAGTAAGTTCTAAGTAAGATACTACCTTGAGTATTAAACTTTTATACTAGAAATATAATAATTGAAAAGTTCCAAGACCTAATCAAATATTCTAGATTTAATATATGTGAAACTATATGGCATGTAAATCATGAATGTCAAGTCGGAATTCCAATGGGGTGAATAGTACACTTGGAATAAATTAATTAATCAAATAATTAATTATTCTCTAGATTTTAAAACATCACCATTTACTCTCAAATTTACATATG